AAATGAGCTATCAAGCATGACCAGCCACGGAGGAAACTTAAATGCTTATTTCTAAGTGAAAAAAGCCAGTATAAAAAGGATGCCTACTGTAGGATTCCAACTCTGTGACATTCTGGAAAAGTTCAAACCATGGAGACAGTGAAAAGATCAGTGGTTGCCAGGGTCGGGCAGATGAAGAGGCAGAGCAAAGAGGATTTTCAGGGCAGTGAGACTTTTCTGTGTGATGCTGCAGTGGTGATGCTATGGTGTGGATACGATTTGTTTGGCCCTACCAAATCATGTTGAAATTTGGACCCCAGTGTTGGGGGGTGGGACCTGGTGGGAGGTGTCTGGGGCATGGGGTTCCCTCGTGAATGGCTTAGAGTCATCCTCATGGTAATGAGTGAGTTCTCGCTCTTAGTTCCTGTCAGAACTGATTGTTGAAAAGAGCCCAATACCTCCTCTCTCTCTTGCCTCTTCTCTTGCCATGTGAACTGCACACGCCAGCTCCCTTTGTCTTCTGCCATGAGTGGAAGCTTCCTGAAACCCTCACCGAAGCAGATGTTGGCACTATGCTTTTTGTACAGCTTGTAGAACTGTGAGACAGATAAACCTCTTTTTCTGTTTTGTAAATTACTCAGCCTCAGGTATCCCTTTATAGCAACACAGAGTAAGACAGGTAGATACATGTCTGTATATATATCTAAACCTCTAGAATGTGCAATACCAAGAGTGAGCCCTAATATCAACTAAGGACTGGGTGATAATGACGTGTCCATGTAGGCTCATCAACTGTAACAAATATGCCATGCTGGTGTGAGATGTTGATGGTGGAGAGGTTGTTCACGTGTGGAGATGGAGGTATATGGGGGCATATGGGGGGTATACGTGTTTCTGCTCAATTTTGCTGTGAATCTAAAACTGCTCTAAAAAAGAAAGTCTATTAAGAAAACAAAAGAAACAAACAAACAAAAAAAACCCTACAAAAGGAGGAAAAGAGATAGGGAGAACCCTATGGAGGCGGTGGATCTAGCCCTGGGGCTGGGCAGTAGGGGTGGAGAGGAGGGATCCAGGACCATCCATAGGAGTCAGCGGCTGCATGGATGGTGGAGGTGCAGAAGATTCTGGCTTAACTTGCGATGTGGTGCCACAGATAGAGGTTTGATGAACCACCTTCGGTAGCCTGGGGTGGGGAGGGCTTGGTTATGGGTCAGAGGTTGCACGAGAAGGTGGAGAGGGAAGGAAAAGAACACTGATGAAGATGAGAGAAATCACACTTCATTCTTTTGTTTAAGAAACGTCCCATGGATGTATCATGTGTGCATCCTTCATGTGAGATAACGCAACGAGTAACTATGCAGAAAATTCACAACCTGAACTAGTTTCGTTGAAGACCAAGGTGTGGTGGGAGGAAAACACCCACCCCCAAAGGCTGGAAGTGACATTCAAGTTGTTAGAGTGCAGGGCTTGAACAACTGAAGAGAGAGGAGGAGAAAGACACCCGCTTGTAAAGGACCTGTGTATTCAGAAAGGAGGAGCCACAGAGTGGTCCCAGCTGTTATTTGTGCTCTCTGCTCTCTCGCAGGCAGCAGCGCAGCCCTGGCTCCTCATCATCTTGGTGTAGAGGCAGGTGCTTTCCGCTCCATCCTCAGTCCATCTTCCGCCCTGCTCTGTCCTACTCAGTGCTCCAGGAGGCTGACCCTTATGGACCACATCCTCAATTCCCCTGACCGGCTGACTTCTGAATGGGCTCAGCAGGAGAATGTGGGCGAGAGGAGAGAGAGGACAAGGGTTTGATCCCTGCTCCCTCCATGACCTGCGGAAGTTGTGCCCCACAAGACCACAGCAGTCCCGCCCTATGGCCCCGGCTTTAATGGACTCCTCTCATGCTTTCTCCATCCTTGGCTCTGCAGGCCTAGGCAGAGCCATGGCTTCCCTCTTTAGTAGTCTGTGGTGCTGGAATGGTCTTCGATGGTTCCTTTAACTCTGATCACAGGGCTGTGAATGGTCCTTTCATTATTCTCTTCAGATGAGTCGTTTGAGGGAGAACTTGCGGCTCTAGAAAGGCTCAGAGGTTAACAAAGGCTGTTGGCTGGGCGTGGTGGCTCAAACTGTAATCGCAGCACAATAGGATTGCCTGATCCCAGGGATTCGAGACCAGCCTAGGCAACTTGGCAAGACCTCATCTCTACAATAAATCACAAAAACTAGCCAGGCGTGGTGGCATACGTCTGTAGTTTCACCTACTTGGAAGGCTGAGGTGGAAGGATCACCTAAGTCCAGCAGGTCGAGGCTGCAGTGGCTGTGAGCATGCCACTGCACTCCAGTCTGGACGACAAGAGTGAGACTTCAAATAAAACATAAACAAACAAGAAAAACGAAGGCTGTTAATAACCATTGTGGATGGGGGTGGGAGAGGTAGTCCACTCCCTGATGTTGTGAGGAGTGGGGAAAGACGGTAGATCCTACAGAAATCTGCTCTCATCTGCTGGCTTACATATGCTTTATTCAGAGCTGTAGACAAAACCCAAAAGGGAGGAAGTGGTCACCACCCTTGCCTCCTTGCAGACAGCTCTGGCAAAGGCCTCTGAGGAGGGCATTGGCACTTTTTTTTTTTTTTTTTT